ATTATCATCTGCCCTTGGCAGGATATTTGAGCTGCTGTATGTGAAACTCTGCACGTCCCCGACGTCCTCTGAGGAAAACTCTCCACTGGATTCCCAAACTATTACTTTGAGTAACAGAATCAGGCTGACATCAAGCATCTGTGTTTGTATGCTCAGTGCCAAGTGGATATCGGAACTCTACAAATACAAGATTCCCCGCTGTAATTACCCCCTGAATATTGGTGTGAATGGTATTTACAAGTCAGCATACACCTGTAATTGTATTGAACCCTGGTGGGTTTAATGGTAACAGGAAAAAGTCAAATCATCATATCAGATCATTTCATAATGAAGTAGTTACAGATGGCAAATCCGTCGCTTCACCCTCCCCTTCCAAGCATGAAAGGAGAAACTATGATGGCCACGCTTGATTTGTCCGTTTTGGGCTACTGTAGAAACATGTTGGTTCAACATGGCAGACTCCATGGAGTAGATAAAAAGAGCTCACTCTAAGGTACAAAAACATAACTTTCCTATATTCAGGTGATTATGCACTAATGAAACATAGCTATGAATATTTCAATTCAATTCAATTCAGTTTTATTTGTATAGCACCAATTCATAACAGAAGTTGTCTCAGGACACTTTATATATTATATTCCATCTTTGCCAATGGATTCTCCTTAATGTTACACACTGGACCTTTAAAGGTGCTGTATATGACTTTCAAACTAGATGTCACACTTCATTTCAACACAACAGAAAGTCCACTGTTCCAACAACAATCAACAATAGACAAATACAGTAATTTAACCTCCATGTAACTTAATTCAAAGTAGATAGAAACAAATTAAAACTCAACAAAGCCGTATTTTTTAGTATTTCCACTGTTCCAACGATCACCAACTCTGGCTGGGATTGAAATAAATCCTCAATTCACGTAGTTAGATGCAAAACAGCTGTCTATCCTCCGAGCCAAAGGAGGGCCTCGCATGCACTAACATGCACCCGCGGCCAGACCGGAGAAGTAAACAATGCTCGGGGATCAACACAAGCTCATTACTCCACTATATCTGTACATAGCATGTAGTTGTTTGCTTCAGTATTAATGATATAAATCTCACACAGTATATATATACACATAAATATAATAAATCAATGAAATTATCAGTATTATATCAATTCAATTGTTATTTGTTGCCAGCATCTTACGGCCATAAGGCCGCTCAGCATTGACTTCACATTTGTTCGGTGTGGTTGCTGCTCAGTTGTAAACTGCCTGTCTGTTAAAAGTGGTGATAAGGAGTAGTGCTGACCCTCTTTGAAATTATATCCTAACCTAATGCTCTCAGAAGTGGCTGCATAATACCAGGCCGAGCTCAGTTAGGGAAGAGGGGATGTATTTTGTTCATGTTTAGCTCTTCACATGCAACCCTCATGTCTTTTCATAAATGTATCCATCTTCTCTGCACTGAGGTTTCATGTTGTGCTGGAGGCTATATGTCTAGCTAACGAGCCCTTGACACATCGTCTTTGAAAGAAGCTGACCCATGAAGAAATCAGTTTAAAAGCAACGCTTCATCTCACTGTAAAGGCCTACATTCAAATGAGAAAGGAGTGTTATTGTGTCCACTACACACCAAGGCGCTCAATGAATAATAAATGGTATATTATTGGTATATATAGCATATATTTCAGACGCAAATATCAGCAAAGAAAATAAAGCATAACGTGCATATCAGCTTTCACTCTGAGTGGAAAGTAGAGCAACAATCACAGAGTCAAGAGTTCATGAGGATAGCACTGATTAGATCATAGCTATGGTTAGCCATCCTTAGGTGAACAATGAGCTGAAGGAGGACTAACCATAGAGTGGTCAGGGAGATCATTACTGAGCCATAGTACCGGATCATTGCATTTCCAGCGGACGCTTTCCGCTGTCTCACATCCTGCCTGCTCTACACGTGTGCTGAATTAATAATCATGTCGTCTTGAACACAATTATAGTGGTTAATTATGCGAGTGTCAGAACAAGTAGGGAGGACAACTTGGGATATTTCCCTGGAGATTACTGTGCATGTCTGTTAACGCAGCTAGCTAGGGCACCATGCTAATATTGTACTACGTGACTAATGAGGACTTTAGGGATTGGAACATGCCCAGGAAACACGAGTTTGTATAGTTTACTGCACTTGCCTGTGCCCTTAAATATTTGCATGTATGTGTCACATTGTGCACACTGTTGTGTCTATACATTTGAATTCCCACCTCTTTTGTTAGTTATACAAGAGCACTCCTGGAGCCACAACATAGCTGAAGAGATGTATTCATAATAAAAACAACTGTTGGTCACTGTTACAGTAATACAGAAGGGAAAGTAAGAAAGTATGGACATCAGGGAACAGATTATGTGAATCTGATTGTTTCTTCAGGGAGGAATAAAAGTGGAGTTAAAGTCAACACTAACCCTACTGGTAAATAATATGACAGAGCAAGAGTGGGAACCCTGTTTCTTGGATTTAAACCATTGCTATTCAGTAGCTGACTTTCAAATCTTAGATGTCAGACTGTCCTTGAATACACCAACAACAAAAGACTTCAGAACAAGGTCCAAAACAATCTGACATTTGAGCTGTGCTGTTTAATGAGATTTGAGGGTGTTTTCCAATGTTAACCTGATCAGTTCTCAGGAAGAAACCAGAGAAAGAAAAAAGTGAAACTCATAATGTAGATTTAGTCCACCTTCTATCCTCGTTACTTGCCTTCAGAAATAACTGTTTTTAGGAAGAGAAAGGGAAGCAGTGTTTCCTTTTAATTTCTCATATTAGCTGTATTGGTTATCTATGGGGGCAGTGGTTGTTTCAGGAAAGAGCTACTATATGCATAATTTCATGAACAAAGTGGTAGAATAAACAGCATTGTGGACTACTTTCCTAAAAGGCTGTAATCCAATAGCTGGATATTTTATTAGAATAAGTTCAGAACACTGCTGTTTGATATTCATCTGCATAATTCTTTTAAATTCCCCTTTCTGCACTTTATCTTATCCCCCCACACAGCAGAAACCACACAGAGTAAGGCACAGCACACCATAATGACATATTTGACGCACTGCTTCCTTCCCATTAATCGCAGCAATATTAAAAACAGCCCTGAAAACTTCTCCACATCTTGATACAGACTATTTGTATGGAGCAAAGACATAGCATGGTAGCTAATCCTTATGACTGCACTTCCTGTTGGTGCGTCAGTGAAATCCTTAATTTGCTTGGCGTACAGCTTTAGATGTGAAGCAGCTGCATGAAAGTGTTGTAGGTCAACTGTACTTCTGATAGCGTGAGATTGGACCAGAAAACCAAAAGGTGAAGTGGCAGATGAAAGTAGTAGGAGGAATATAGGTGTGGAAGTTGTTGCCTGAGTAGTTGGTACAGACTGGAGGTAGCCCATTCGTCATCTAGTTGTTGGAGAAGAATTTATATTTCTGGGCATGCCAGTTCTGTTAAGTACTATATTGTAGCATCCTCTCTTGGCATGAAGTGCAATAGCAAGGTGCTAACTCTATTCTACAACACTTTATTCTTAAACCAACACAGGCCACTGTGGATGGTAGTACTGTGTTAGCCTTACTGTAAGTCTTACTGGTATTTAACCTCACACTTCTGCTTCCTCCCTCTGTGTCTCCACTTTCTCAACTGTGTAGATGTATACACTGTATTTCACTGATAGAGGGTGACAAATGTCTCTGTCATTTTAATTGTGGTTTGGTGACCCTACAAGATTGCCATACACCAGGGGTCTCATACTCAGATTGGCTTGGGTCCACTGTCTGCTGGTATCGTCATCTCACAGGAGGGCCACTTAAACAATAAAGTACTATAAGAAAGCGCAATATTCTGAAAATATTTCCATTACTTAACAGAAAATGCAAACAGTGGTTTCTATATTTTTATATCATAATTTCATGTCATTGTTGTTGTTTGTGGCCAAACGAAATATGCTGTTTGTAGATAGAATTGTACAGTGTGAGTGTATATTAAGTGTTGATTAAAAAGTAGAAAAAATGGTTTAAAATAACATAATAATCAATAGTCAGTTTGTAGCTTCTGCCATACTCCTTAGTCACAACTCTTTAATAACCAAATTTAAGGGATTCTTATCAAAAAGATCCTCTGACAACCTATTGATGAATACTAGAGTTAGGCATAGGATGATATGAATATTTCATTCACCATTATTCTGCCCAAAATGCAATTCACAATATTATCCCGATTATCTTCAAAATAAAACTTTTTGGTGAGGGATACAATGGGCAAGCCAAACTTCAGCCATGGAGGTTTAGGATTTTCTTAGGACTGTACATTAGCGAGCGAGACAGCTTTTTCAAGTTAGGATATTCACATTCCCGATAATGAAAATTCACCAGCATAAACATAGTTTTTTGTTGTAATATGCATAAATATCATCCCATCTCTAATTACAGAGAGTACAGCCCACAAACAGTCACATTGCACTGTATCCTTCCTACCAGTAGTGAAGCACATTCACTGAACCAGATCACATTTTAAAGAAAAGCACTTTACAACATATTCCTGCTAATGTTTTCTTCCTTCGCAGGCTTGCCACTCTACTGCAGCAGTGAAAACCATGTGACCATCCAGGGATGCACATGAAAACGAAGGCTGTTTTTGTTGCTGTGCTGAATATGTTTTCAGTTAGATGCTCTGATGTTGTGTCTGTCCATGCTGTGTGTCTCTGTTCTCCATGTTTCTGTGTGGAGGTCACACTGTCTTTGTCTCTCTGTTTCCTCTCATTTGTCTATCTGTGCTTCTTCTCCTTCTCAATTATTCATATTTTTAAATGACAAAGATGTGAAGAATGAGAAGTAAGATGATGCTTGATGTTTTTTTTTATTCCTTCTAGCACACGAATGCCATACTTGACTTTCACCTGCTGCATTCACTGCCTCTGCTTTTGTTCCTATGTTTTGTAACACACCGCCCTTCTCCTCCCACTTCCCCCAGGTTTTGGTCTGCTTTGGGTTGACTGGTCATTATGCTGATGCAGCTCTGTAGTATCAAGGTCAGTGCCCCCCCCCCACAATGATCACCCACCACAAGGATCACCCACAACCTTCTCCATCTGCCTGCTTACCACCACCCATCACCCAGTTTGTCTGTAGGAATATGGCACTGTGAAGGCTGAAGGCTGGTGCCAGTACTACATTTTGCCATTCAAATATATCTTTACATGTGATAATGTTAATGACAAAATATTGTACCCTAAATCATATTCTGTTTTAAGATTTGCCAAATAAATTAAAAAAACTAAATATTGGTATAACACTAGGCTTAATCAATAAAGATGCCGGCTTTTCGTTAATATTCATATACAAATTGTACTCTGCGTGCCGATAACCTTTATTCATCCACAACTGCACGCACAAAGTGCTCCAGCATTTAGACCAAAACGTCAAGGCTGGCTGAGTCGTGCCCTGAAGCTCCTTTCTAACTGGAGCATCCTCTGATCTGATCTGAGATGCCAGGATGGAAAACTCTCCCTCACATTTGGACTCGCTTGGTAACGGTGCTGCATCTTGCAGTAATCACAGCATCCATACTGAACAGACACTCAACTGTAAGTGGGTCGTGGTACACCTTTAAACCATGTTTACAGGTGCCGAGAGGTTCACAGCCTTTTACTTTAATGAACTGGATGCTGGTCGCTGCAGTATATTAGGATTATTAACCAAGCAACTGAACTTTCACTGTGCTGTAAGAACTGACTAAAGCTTAGGCTATAGTTTATGGTATTGTTATGGTGGCTTGTAAAGCCCATTGGTATACTTTATACATTTTCCATGTGGATTGTGGGCCAATTTTCCAGCATTTGATGATGCTAATGTACTTAGAAGGCTGGTTTCTATAACTTTATTAAAGAATAAAAGATCTTAAAAAATGTAAGATATGAAATATTCTTTAACATGTTAAATAATTTAACATATACATTGTCTCAATTCCTTCATCAAAGTAGTGTGACGTATAACTGTTTTACGAACTGCGCGTCTGTTTACTTCTTGTCAACTTTTCAGTAGCGTTAGCTTCTCCACTGATCACCTTACAGTGCTGTTTCATCTTTATTTTAGCCACTTTTTACAGTTAGCTTTGTAAATACTGGTGCATACTAGTAGTTATAGTATTTACTGTTAATTTTTGTATATGGTGTTTTTCATCATTGCAATAACCTCAGTGTTTTTTAGAAAGCGAGCTAACCTAGCTGGCTACTAACACCAGTGTTAGCCTGATTTTCACAGCTAGTTAAGGTTTGGGTTGCTATGGCTCTTTTTAACAATTGGTGCTTGGAAGAGCTGCCAAAGTTAAAGTGACTGACGTGCACCATCTTGGTTAACTGAGCAGTAAACCCTACTTGCTGGAAAATGCCTGCTACACACCCTGGGCCGATTGGTGATGGTAAACTGGTGTTAACTGCCCATTTTGCCCTTTGCCCATTATCCCAGCATTAGCTGCAAACAAGTGAAAGTTCATAGAAGAGAACATAGCCAATGAAGAGCAAAGAGGGACTGAGCAAAACTCTATAGAGCTGATGGCCCTCCTCATAAGCTTGACAGTTATTTTCTTCATTGTATTTGCCAGCTAGGCTAGTTGACTGGCAAAGTTTGACCTCAATGTTTCGAAAAACATTGAGGTCATTAGGCTATTGGAATCTAACGCTATTGTAGAGCTGACAGTAAGATAAGACAAAGATAGTTTGTAGTACTGTCAGCTGTCAGAACACAGTGAAGATTTAAGCAATAATGACAAAAAGTTAGTTTTGTAAAAGTTACCTACTGCAGTTTTAATATACTGAAAATCTTTAGAGTTATACTGTAACTGATGCTGTGTCTATAACATTTTGTAGTATTTGTTGAATAAATTAGGAGATGCCCTTTGCAGAAATACTTCTCTCGTCATCATCTCAACTGTAGACACGTCCGTAGTCATCAACCATGACCCAGGAAGGAAAAACAGTGGCCCACTTACAGATTGTACGGTGTGTTCAGGCATGTAAACAGGCCATTCAAATGTCTTAAAGAAATACACATTAAAAAAAACTATTTCAGAATATAATAGCGCTAATGGACAGCTATAGCAGAGGCACAATGGTAATGTCTCTCGTCCATTCCACTTTAATGTCTCTACAAACAGACTTGGACCTATATGTTTTATTTAGAATACTCTATTTCAAGGGGAAAAAGGGAAAGGAAAAAATAGTCACAAAATTTATTTGGATGTATTAAGCTTGTGCTACCATTAAAATCTCCATATCCTCCCTCCAAGCCACGTCAGTGTCACTCCCATCACCAGCACTTCTCTAAACTGCCTTAATAATGGGCTTTTGCCAATTTAATAGCTTTTGTGTGCACTAGTCCAAAAGATGTGTTGATGCACGCATGTTCCTTTCGTGTTTGTGCACTCTACAGTGTGATTTTCCAAATGATTTCTCTCCAGTTTGTCAGAACAATTTTCATCATGCTTACTATGATACGATCTATGTAACCAGCTTTAAAATGCTCTCTGTGCTGGATCTAATATCAGATATGATAATTTTGTCATTCTTTAGACTGAGTTGTTAGCATCGCAACATCTTTATGTTTTATGTGATGTTGTTGTTATGCTTTTCATACCTTTTACCCTCAAAGCATCAAATATCAGCAGCAGCCAGTGTCACTGTGAATGACTGGATATGATACTGCACTCCGATATTAGGTGTTTCCATCAAAAAACAAAGAACACAGACAATGACTTCCTGTCCTATCAGCACAGGGTATCAGCTTAATGGAAGTATACACCCATAAACATTTTAACCCTTAAAAACAAGACTATGGATGTCAAAGTAGAACATCATGTTGACATATTTCCAGTGCAGCAACAGGAATTTCAAAAACCTGAATAGGCTGGTGGACTGAAGAGGCCGAAAGGACAATCTGATGTCAGCTGATACCAGCATGTCAGCTACCAGATCATGAACCACAATATGTCAGCTCACCACTGCGATGCCTCAGCGTCCAGACAAACGTATTTACCTCCAGCTGCTGATACAAACCTGAAGAGGAACACTTTCCATTGGCTGAGAATAAGGAAATGGGTCAACTTCAACATCTTAATATGTCTTATAAGTGGCTTATTTAAGCAGTTTGAAGTCCATGTGTAAACATTGAATATAGCAATTATATTCAATGAACGCAGCTGGAATACATTCCTATAGTACCCCATAGTGTCTTAAAACATGTCTGATGGATTTAGTACTTTATAGTAAAATCATCCTACTGTCCTTCTGTGATGTCGTTATTGTATTTATGCCCCATGACTTTCTCCACGTTTAACTTAGTTATAATATATTTTATAGAGCTGAAACAATAGAGTTAGGGATTAGTCAATCGACTGAAAAATTATACTATTCTGATTAATTAATCAAATGCACAATTATTCAGAATGTTATCAAAATTACAATATGTGCAATATTCAAATCACAGAAGCTGCAATTGATAAAGGTAAAATGTGTGACAGTTCTGTAGAAAGTACTGTAGTTCTGAAGATATGGCTGGCCTACAGAGATGTTTGGTACAGACAAATCATTCCCACTAATTGTGAATCATATCGCAGTTTTTGCCAATGGTACAGCCCTAATTCTGATAATCCTCTGTAGATACATTCTAAGACAATGAAAACACAACAATTCCTATATTCAGGTGATTATACACTAATGAAAACATACCTATGAATACTATATTCAATTTCTGACAATAGATCCTCCTAAATGGACCTCTAAAAATGTCTTTGACAGTGACTGGCTTAATGTTGTTGTTGCATATGATAAAGACGAACTTGAATGTTGAAAGCATGCAACAACCAAATAATCATCTGCTAATGCTAAGCTAACTGTTAGTTAACTAATGTTAACAGCATGCTAAGCTAATCACCATGCTGCCTGAGCCACTAAATAGCCACTATTTCATTCAAATCAACCAGATTCTCCACTTTCTGATCCTAAAGCTTTACTGATACTACTCCAATAATGGTTATTGGAGTTTAGGTTTCTGATCAACTCCAATGACCTGAGATTAAGTATCAAATCAGCATTGGGAGAAAAAAGAGGAGTGGGTGAGTCACAACAGTGGCAGAGGACCACTTACCAGTCACTTACCAGTGATTTGGCAGCTTGCTTTTCAGCAGCTAGTTGCAGCTAAAGAGTAAGCTCCTAAATCATTTAAATTCACACACTGGCTCTGTGTTTCTCAGCCACCAAGTGAGTAGAGTGAAAGACAGCATGGTCAACACAAGCGGCTGTGCTTTTAGCAAGAAGGTCAAACGTGGATGAAAGGAAAGTAATGTTTGAATTGTGTCTTGTTATAGACAGACATTGGTAATATAAACTTAAATGTAGTTACTAATTTTGCTGAACTAAGATATGCATGCATATTTTAAACAACGCGTACTTAAAGGGAACTGCTACTTAATGTTATGGCCAATCCGAAAACACATGATAAAAACAAGTCCTTGATACAGTAAACACTACAGTATCAGACAGACATATCTCTGGTACAGACCATGGTCATCCCACCACTGCAGTGTCCTTTAGGAGCAACTTGACACCCTGTTTTAGCTTAAACATGCCCCCTTCAGAAATTCAATAAAATGCCTTCAATAAAACCTGGCAACCCAGCCCTATTTTATTGCCTGGATATAACATCTCACAGTCATCCACTTTCTTTTGAATGCCTGTACCACGTGGTAACAATTCACATTTGACTCGTACAACCCAAAGCGTCATTTTTACCAGCCCCCAAATTTCCACCTTCACTGACAGCCAAGACTGTTAACCTTTTAACTTTTTTAACATCAGATTTTATGCATATGATGATGTGCTATTTATACTATTACAGTTTTCCATAGATCAGATTTTAAAAAGTTCTAATATATAGCAATCTATTGAATCGTAACCCCTGTATTGTGATACGTATTGTATTGCCAGATTATTACTGATACACAGCCCTAAGAGTGACAGAGTAGGGGATATGAATGGTAGAGAAGGTATACATTTACCACAAGCATTGTGACACTGATCAACACTGTCAATTACTAGCGTACAAGTAGTAGAGGAAATATTTCTTCAACTGTACTTCATATTTCTTTTCTACGACTCTTAGTGGCATGCCCTCCATCGTTCATATTCCATACTGTGCACACTGCTGACAGTTGACTGCTGTATTTCTATGTTATAATCAAATAAACTGAATTACTGGATTTTTTCTGGGAAAAGGAAAATATTTGTTACAGTATGCAATGGGACCAAGATCAATAGACAGTGTAATAAAGTGACCACCTGGACCTAATTTTCAATTCCTTTTCCTTCTTTTTTTTGCATCCTGTTGTAGAACTTGTACCAGAATCGGTTCCTAGGCCTGGCGGCCATGGCCTCCCCGACCCGCAGCAGCCAGACCCGCCAGCGCTGTAAGGATGCGGTTCGCCACAGCTATGGCCCGGACACCTATGCTGTCAATGGTCTAAACCAGGAGGCCTTTATGCTGGGACTGTCACGGTCCACCAGTGACACTGATCTGGTCTCCCCAGACGCTCGCTCCACCCTCACCATCAGCTCCTCCCACTACAGCATAGGCCAGTCTGAAGACTTGGTGATCACATGGGACATCAAGGAGGAAGTGGATGCTGGAGACTGGATCGGAATGTATCTTGTTGGTAAGTGACATGATGACATTGAATGTTACAGTTAATATTAATTGTATTAATTATTAATACATGTATTTAATGACTGTGGCCATAGAAGTTACCACATACAAGCCACGATAAAACCAGCACTGCTGGGATCTTTTGGAGTATACAGATCTCATATAGCCACAGTTTGTTCCTCTGTGTTGTAACAGAGTGAAGGAGTGTTGAGCACATGACACCAGAGTCCTGCACGTGTCCCCGCCACTATCTCCAAGTCAAATCCAGACCTGACCTGTGATCTGACCCATGCTACACACACAGTGGTATTTTTACTTGTGCAATTATAAGTGTAACATGTAGACCCGTGAATTAAAATCATAATTAACTGTTTGGTTGAATCAGTCACCAACTGTTGTTACTCACTACGCTGCTGCTGCGTCCACATGGCCAGCTGGGCAACGATGTCAATAACGATGCCCTGTGTCAGTTCGCTAAATCCATCTCCACACACAGTTAAAAACCTTCTGATGTTCCAGCATACACACAGCTTGCAGGGTTATAGCATCCTTGATTTCCTGGTGGTTGTGTTATTGGAAAAGTTTCTGTTAACCCGCCCATTACCTGTGCTCCTGCTGCAGCTGTATGTTTTCTCAGGATGTGCGAACTTGCGGCTTTCACAATAAAAGAAAATCCTGGTGGCTGATTAGGGTTAATAGTATTTAAATATAAAAAATAGGCTGCAAACTCATTTAATTTCTGACTTCTCAAAAAAACCAAACACACATTTTTGTTCTCACCAGCTGCCTGCTGAGGTGGCTGCAGAAATCTCAGAGGTGTATACCAAAACTATCAGCATAGCTAGACACCATTAAAGGTATATGATTATTTTGGGGGGTGAAATTACCACTTAACAGATTTATAAGGAGGCTTTTATTGTATAACTTCTGTAACTTTTTGTTTATTCTCACCTAAACCCTGAATTCCTGGTGTTCATAGTAAAACATCCAAGACATCATCCCTCACTGGCTTCCCTCACTCTTAAATTTCACATATTTCCCACAAAATTATACATACAATATATTGTTGTATCAATCCTCATATTCATCTATATATATATATGTTTAACTTACTATTTCATGTCAAAATGGCTGCTGTGAAAAATGAAAAAAATGTCTATTATAAAATTCTATGAATTTACACATAACGATACATGTGACAGATACAGGATTGTGTTTTGAGAGTAGAACCATATCAAACATAAGTGAATTAACAAAGCTTTTTTAAATTAAAATTAAATCAAAGTTAAAAGAATTAAATAGATTCAATGTATATATACAAAATGAAGAAGAAATAACATAAAGCTAAATCTAATCTATTATCAGTCTAGGAGCATTCATTTCTACCTGTATCTTCCTCCTTTCCCCTGTTTCCCTGTCCCCTACCTTTCTCACTCAGTTATTTGTTGAGTAAAATCAAACATCAGCATAGGTTACAGCAGGAGCTTCTGTGTGCCAGGTGTGAGATGAGGGGTTGTCAAATCATATTATATTGTGGGAGTCTGCCCTTTAAGACATATGGTTTCAACAGAGTGTCAGTTGTGTTGGTTGCCATATGGAGAGTTCTTGACATTGTAGTAACTCACACTACGCTGCTCCTCTGCAAGGCCACAACCTGTGATTCTAAAGGCCTCTGCACATCAAGTCTGAATTTTTTGTGTGCTGTTGCCACTCTCTGCCTGTATCTGTTCCTCCTCTCTGTCTGTGTGCTGTGAAAAATTTAAAAAAACAAGAAACGCAAACAAGATGGCCGTGTAGTTCTGTGCTCTGATTTAGAAGAACTCTCTGATCAGTGTCACTGATGCCAGTCCAGCTGATCAATACCAGATTTTAAACTAACTTAAATCATATTGCTATCGCAATATCAGTAATTGCGATATGATTATTTTACCATATCGTGCAGTCCTACTCTCCTCCATGTTTCCGTTGCCTTTATTTCCTGCCTGTATCCCTACTGTGCAGAAGAAGGTTAGGTTGGGTTAGGTCAGTGGTTCCCAACCTTTTTGACCCCTTTTTGTATCATTAAGTAAACTGATGACTCCTGACTAAGTCACATATTTTATGGATATTTCATACTGGCTGCTGTCACCCACATCCTCAAAAACAACAACCTGGTCTTAACCCCGTCTCCAATGTCCCCTTTCTGTCAAACATACTTGCACATGTTGTTGCCTCCCAACTCAAAGCCCAGCTAGTTTCCAGTGACCTGTTTGAACCATTTCAACACAGCACGTAAACAAACTCCTCCTCTCCAAAGAATCTGGTCACCTCAACATTCTCACCCTACTGGGCCTCACTGCTCTTGACACTATCAACCATACCATTTTTCTCTCCCCCCATTGAGTCCTCCATCAGTATCACTGGTACTGCCGTCTTCTGGCAAAGGTCATATCGCACAAACAAACAGCAGTTCATCAATATCAGCAACTGCTCCTCCTTCAATTCAGTGTTTTCTTGATTCTTACGCTTGGCCATTGTTCTGTTAGACAATTTACTTCACATTTATTTTTCTGTTTTTCACATTATATATAGTCATATCACCCAGCACCATCATTAAAAAACTTCTCCACAGTGGAGCCAGCAGCAACTGCTGTACGTAGTCAAAATGTAAATACCTCTACCCGTCATAATACCGTACATATTGTGATATGACACATTTTACACACTTTGTAAAAGAATTCTGGAGGGTTGGAGTAGCAGTGTGGTCTCATTGGTTTAATCTCTCTTCCCAGATGAGGCTTTATCAGAGAACTTTCTGGACTATAAGAACCGAGGCATCAACGGATCTCACAAAGGACAGATCGTTTGGAAAATTGACTCCAGCTCCCACTTCAGTGACTGTAAGTGACAAAATCTCTTTAGAAGAAAATAGTTTCTCAATAAACAGCCTTCATTGTAACGTTAAATCCATTCTTTATCCAAGCTGTTTTATAGTGAATGTTTTGCCCGTTTATGTTTGGAATTGTGCTTTTTACAGTTTTTCAGCCAGGTTCTACCGGTCATATGCAGCCTGTCATATTATGCTTATTCATAAGCCATTAAAATCTGTGCATCTGTCCATTATTTCTATAAATAACAGTCAAACTGTTTTTGGACCAAAATATGGAGACATTGTACTTACAACCTTGAAGCAGAGATATTCTAGAAGCAGCAGCAGAGATATTCTACTTCAAGGTGCTGTAAATGTAATGCTGAAATAAAACATCATTGATCTCTGTTTGGACACTGACACTGTAGAGCCGAAAAATAGTAACAGAATGTAAAAAACAGCACTATAATATACTGTAGTTTGGTTCAGTGGCTTCTCAGGAAAAGTAACAGGGTTGCTTACAGAGGCACATCATTAGAGGGAGGGAGGGAGGAAGAGAATGGGTGCAGGGAGACAAATGGTGCACAATCACTGCATTTAGGGACATGGAGAATTGTGTTTATGAGTGAGAGAGACTATGTGCATGCTCACATGAAACAGAATACATTTATCAGTGTGAAGACATCCAGGTGTTTCCATTTAGTAACACCAGCCTCTGTATCACAGGTGCCTTTTTCAGAGCCTACAGGCTTTACTGAAGCTGTTATGTTTAACTGTTCCAAGTATTTAATACTTCTCAAAAACATTTACTCTTGTCAGCATGGAAAAGCCATATAATATATGAATACAAATAATACAGCTGCCTTCACAGATACAGCTACCACTCTCAATAATACAGTCTAATACAATACTACTTCTGCCAATACTAATTCAAATATATCTCCTTGTTTACATGCCTGATTGAACAAACATTTGTATCAGTTCAGGATAATGGAGGGGTCGGCAGCCATTTTGGCCTTATAATAATAATAATAATAATAACAATAATAAAAACTAAAAATAACAACAATAATGTCTAAATCTAACAAGAGACAGGGGTCTAGGATGCCAACCCTAGACTACAGTTCTTTGACTTCTGTGCAGTAAATATACAGGTATAAATGTACAGTAGCACGTTCACACTCAGAACATAACCCAGGCAGCACTTGTGTCTGTCAGCGCTACATAACTGTGATAAAATAATAAGTAAAGGCAGTTTGGAGTCGGTGTTGCCCCGTTCTTTTGCTGTTACAATGCTTATTACCTTTAATGACAAAAAGCAGTTAACCAAGCTGCACTGTTGTACATTTAGTTAAGTTAATTTTGTCACTGGCATGTACAATAATAGGATCCCTGTTGTGTGACCTTTCCCAGTGTTTTCTAATGAGGCTTTCTATGTTCTTGGTCCTTGTTCTCATTTAAAGGCAACTATACTTACTTTACTATTTTCGTAATGTGACTGTTTTAAAGCCATTTAAGGTAAATAGAAGTGATTATATTTCTGCCTCCCTCTCTTTTAGGCACACTGCAGGCATGCTTTCATTCAGTCACTTGCATGTGGTGTTGCTGTGTGTTTCCCCCTCTTCTTGTCAAACCATCTGAGTGAGTCTGGCCAAACAAGCAGAAAAACATGGAGCTTTACTATGACCTTAATCTCCTCGTGCTCCCCAAGCCTTTTGCTTTTTTGCTCTACTTCCCCTTTTTTCCAGATGACTATATAGTCCTAGAAATGTAAATGTCACCTCTCAGCTAACACTGATAACTCCACAAATAAGTGAAGTCCTTTAAATCCGTTCTTTACCTCTAATTTCTTGATACAAATATATATTTGTGTTTTTATTTTTTTTGCTATAACTGATTGATGTATTATAAACTTAAAAATAATGTGTTATGTAACATTATATAGTCATCATTAATAAATGATAATGAAATGAAAAGCATTTTATTTAGTTTTATGAATAATTCAAAAGGCACTGTGTGTGTGTGTGTGTGTGTGTGTGTGTGTGTGTGTGTGAGCTTCACTTATTACATACTTAATTGTTTATTACATAACCCCACATACAGTATATTTATGTATACTGCATACCTTTACATTTATATTTCTTTTAGATACTTGTATATAACTGTGTGTATTATTATAGATTCACTGTACAGTGACTCTCACTCTCATCTATGCAATTCAAATGGACATGATCACATGGAACAGCAGGAAGCCATTGCTGGAGCCTCAATCTGAATTAACAAATGAAAATTTGTTTAATACATTTTTTCCAACAAGACACAAAAACATTCTTGTTTAATTTTCTCTCTATCTGTGTGTGTCATCCTCAGTGGAAACCCAGGTCTGCTTCAGGTACTACCACGGTGTCACCGGAGCACTGAGGGCAACCACACCCAGCGTGACCATCAAGAAAGGCTCTGCTCCTGTGAGTCCAACCGCACCCACCTCACGGCTTCATTTTGACATGTGCATCTCTCTGAGATTTGTGGGCCCTCTTCGGCCTCTCAGTGTCTTCAGTTGGAGTGGCATCCCAGCTTCTTTATCCTTGTTCGCTTCAGTCAGTCATGTCAGTCAACCTTAGTGGTGAGGAAGCTACTTTGCAACTGTACCTTGCCAGGCTAAAAGCTACTCCTTAAAGTGTAACTATACTTCAGTTCTGCTAGCTCCCTCCTTCTCAGCGAATTAAAAAAATGCATCAGAGACCTGCAAGGACAGTGATGTTAGGGGGTGTGGCCTTGACACTGACCGCAGTGCGTAGCAGGAACAGTGAGCTGGTAGTCAGAGCTAACAGAGCTAATGAGCAGCTGCTGTCAGACTCTGTGTCCACAGAAACACACAGTCTGCTGGAGCTTTTACCATCACTAGAAGCACTTTGACGGCTGTTTGTAAAAGTGTCTGTGATACCTGTTTGTAGCTGAGCTAGCGACTCAGAGGCTAACTCTCAGGCATCTGTCTGTGTCTGTGGGGGGCTGTCAGTGTGTGGGATCAGGGTGAACACTGCAGTCAGGTGGTTTTGCTACAGTGTCTAAAGTCCACAGTGCCAGAATATAAAAACACTAGGTAGAGGGATAGCGACAGCTAGCATAAAGTCCTATGACTGGTGCGCTTCCATCAGTGTACATTTAAAAATGATCGCAGCGGGTTCAAAGTGGAGGCTGGGGGAGGTGGGCCGCCCTCCTCTGATTAGAGGCCCTTAACACTATTTTTATAGAAATGTTCTGATGTAGAGTCGACTCTTTCTTAGCTCTTGTCTTAAAACATACAGGGCAAACAATAGAGGGCGTGTTGAGCCATTTTTAACCCACAAAATGCAGATTTTCATAAATTTGATAATAATTTCAATTCTAACAGCAGCAATGACGTGTTTGATCACAGTATAGTCATATAGTTCAGTTTACAGCTAAAAAAAAAAGGTTTTAGGGTGGAGTACAACTCTACAATAAAGGCCAAAGAGTATATTTAGTCAGAGAGGTTATACAGATCAATTTGGTGGAAAAAGCCTCTCTGAGGGAGCTTTCATATAATCTGAGCAGCAGTGAGGATCTTGCTGAGACCTAATCCCCCTAACCCTTAGGATACAGCATCAGGTATACAGAAATATACGTGAACATAGAGCTTAGCAAGATAACAATGCTATAGCTTCAGTGACACAAGCAGGAGGTGGTGGAGGGATTCGCGTCAGCAATCCCTGTTAGCATTAGAGAATCAGCAAAAGGAATGGACTGTTTGACATGGCAGGAAACTAACATGTGTATTAATGATAGCTGCTTTCTACTCAGTGGGAGGTCCTGCTATTATGTTTGCTGGTTCACTCCAGTCAGAAATCAGTGTTTTTTCTTGTTCCTACAGTGTTCTGTTTGAATGCTGTATGTGCAGAGTTTGACACTAGAAGGATGTTTTCACATCTTAATGTCTGGAAGAGACCTTTAATGGAACTTGGCCGTCATTACTGTTATGAAGTCCATCTGTGTTTTGTTCCCCTTACAAATAAAATTTCTAAAATATTTTTGCGTACAGAAATGTTAAAACTACATATTTGAGAAGTCTAAATGTATAAACAAATAACAGGACTAAGTTTGGAGCTGCTATTTACTCTCTATTGACGTATTGCAAGATACATGAAGGTCGCCATCAGTTCACTTTTTATTGACCTTGGGTGAACTGATTCTACAAATAAGATGTGATGTCAGTGCAAGTAAAGAGCTATAGTTGATTTGCAGAGAGAGTAAGCACCACCATTAGTTGACATTAATAACCTTTTACATGAAAATGAAAAGGCTGTTGATGTCATTGTGGCTTTGGTCACAACCATCCTGGTTGCTGTGGGAAGTGCCCATCTGTGTTAGATGAATCAATAACTCCCACAGGTAATGTGATGTAGTGTACTGTTAATCACCTTCTCTTTATGCAGTGCTTGTCAAACATTAGCAGCCAATCATGATAATAATAGCATTTTCTACTTCAATTAAAATGAATATATTGAACTAGAAGAAAAACAAACAAGAGGATGCAACATAATCATATTGAGCTAGTGATAGAGCTAAAAACTTCCTTTAAAACACCTCAATGTGTTCACACATGATAGTAAAGGTCCCGCTTTCTGCATAAATCCTCTTTCCCACCACAAATACTAAGAGGAAAACGTGAATACAACTAAATACATGATCAGTTACAATAAATAATGGCCAGAAAACATACCTGGCATCTGAAACCAGGCTAAAGAGGTTTCATTTAAGTTTATGTTTAAAGGTATCAACACTTTGAGCTGCTACAGTAGCTCATAATGCATCTACTATGAACATGATCAGTTAACAATCAGACACAAAGGATTGTTAGAAAACAGCACATAAGGTAACATTTGATAAACTGCAAAGGAATGCAGCAGCTCACAATATGTTCCTCCATTGATAGACATCGCGCGTGAACTAACTTTGTGAGGCAGCTGGACTCTAGCCAAGATGGATTCACACAAGAATCCATCTTGGCTGGCTTCAAGCTAGAATTGGTTAGTGGTCACATGAAAAATTGCCATGTGAAAATCTTCAGCATACTGATATAGTTAATGTCCTTCTAAAGTCTATATCAGTCAGACCCTGTTATCAAGAGGGTGTCCAGCTGATTGGATTTCAGTGTTTACCATCCCATTCTGCTGGTGTGGGCCTCTGGAAATGCTGATGGACCCAGAACTTGATCTGCACTTGCTTCCTGAGGACAAAGGAATAAAAATAACCGTCATAGGAAGAGAGACAGGGAGGGAGGGAGGAGTAGAGATAGCAGAAGAGAGTCCACTCCAGGTAAGTCATTCAGGTTTTTGGAGCTCAGGCGAGGAGTGGAAAGCACCGGGTCAAACCTCCTGGAGGGCCAAACAAGAAGGAGACTGAAGGAGGGAGAGCAGTGGAGGGGGATATGCCTGCTGTTCACTGTAGCCGGTCAGAGCTGTCAGACGCTGCAGACAGAGAACACACAGCGATTGTTTTTATATGTGTGTGATGGACGGCATGTGTCTCCAGCTGGGACTGCTGTCTCCCAGTCACCCTGAGAGAAGGAGCGGGAGGAGGACAAGGCTCAGCTGGATAGCCTGGGTAACCTTAAATATTCACTCTGTCCACATCTTTCTCTTTTACTTACACATACGCTTGTGACATCTTCCTTTGTTTTCTTGCAGCCTCTTGAGAGAGACATATGCCAGATTGCATTGGTCACAAACAAGAAATGCGTCATTTAAACACTCTACCATTCAGGATCTGTTAACTGTTGGACTTAAGTGTAATACGATATATGATAAAACACAGTGGGTTGATATTTGCTTAAAAAACTGAATTTTATGCTATCTAATTGAATGTAGCCTGTAACTTGTACTATATTGTTGATCAGTTTCATACGTTTTTGCTAATATAGATTAATTGATAACAAGACAAAATGAAACATTAAGGGAAGATTTTGCCAAATTTGTAGCTGTCTCTCCAGAGTGAGGTGAGAATATCAGTATCAGTAGCCGTGTTTCCATCCAAATGTACAGCAAATGTAAACCAAATTTTGAGTAAATCGGCAAAAGAAAATGCAAATGAATGCTTGTTTTCATCTACTACCAGGATAAGCTGTAGGTGGTGCCAATTCCCCAGCCAGAAAACCAGAAGAAGAGGGTGGAACAATATGATGTAATTATAAGAGTTGCGGTAGAAGCTCAAACGGTGAAAAAGAATGCAGAAAACAGGATGGAAATATATGTGTATATTGTGTTAGTTTCAGGTGTTAATGTGAGGAAGGTTCCATCAGATCTGTGTGCAGAGATAATGGATGTATTATAGAGTCAGGGGAGCAATGAGAAGACTGTCGGGGAAACAGTTACACAGAGTCTAAAACAAAATTGTGCACTTTGTAGCATTCTGTTTTTCCTTTCTTTTAAGCAAAGTGCGCTTGTGTTCAAACCACAGTGTTTCTGAACTACTGGCAGCTACAGCATGAGCGACGGGAGTGGTTCCACGCTATGTGTTTGTGACGACTTGTGTGAGAAGTGACTGTTTGCTCAAAAACAACAATGATGGCTGCTGAAGAGGTGAGCACAGCTAGCTTCAGAATTGGAGAGAGTTTCTTTATTGAAAGAAGAGCAAAGAACGGCACTGAAGGCTTTTCTCCATGGTAAAGATGTTTTCTCTTATCTCCCGACTGACTTCAGTAAGAGTTTGACTACGTTATACAGTTCATTGATCTGATTGGTTGATTGATAGATGGTGATAGACAGATGGTTCATCCAATCACCTGCATTTTTTTGAGAGTTCCAAGGAAGACTTCCCAGATGGTTCTGTGTAACAAACTACCTGGTACAGTCAGGCTAGGCTCACATTTAACAATATAGTTGAGCTCCTAGATAGTACTGATTGATCCTAATTTCAGTTGTTGCTTAAAGTGTCAGAACTTTGTCATGGATCTCCACTGAAGAACATTACAATCAGGAGTGCCAAGTGAGTGAAGTAAAGATAACTGTTCATTATAACCTGATATGTGACAATTAAGTTTTGACAAGGTCTTTGGCACTTTTTGAGATTTTTGTGATGGAGGGCCGTCTGCCCTCAGCAGCAGTAAGATCAATCCCCCTATGGAGTCCTGACACTGGTAGTGGTGGCTGAAGACTCTGCTGAGGCTGGGCAGTGATGAATGAATGCGCAAATGAACTGAAGGCAGAGAGAGAATTACATTTAAAACTACAGTGGCAAATGACGTGTAGCTGTGCCGCTGGATAGACGAGGCCAGCTGATGAGAACAGCTGATATTGTGACTGACAGCCCAAGATAATGACAGCAAGGATTTTTGTGAGAGGGGCGAATGCAGGGTGCAAAGGGAAATAAACTACTATTCTTTTGTATGCAAAAAAAAGTATGCAAAAGACTGAACTTTCTCTAGTGCTTCAAATAGCACCAGGTCCATGACTACTGCTGACTGACGGACATTAAGTGATGGCTTTGACAAACCAACACTGAGCTGAAAAAACCTCCTGTACACTGCCCTCCACTGTCTCTGTCCAATCGCTCTAACTGAGTTAGCTCACTCAGCCTCTCTGTCTTAACTGCACTGGGATGCAATAACAGCCCTTACACACACTCACACAGAGGTTGGAGCCTTGGTGTATCTGACCTGTAATCAGATGGGCATCCACTTTGTAAATGTAAGTCTGTCTCTTTCAGACTTGTCATGGTTGTGGGGGAGGGGTGTTTTTATTATGTAAAATCTCTCTCCTCTTACATCATTTAAGATTCTTGCAACACTTGAAGGATGCTCATAAATTGTTCATACAGTTCCTTTTATATTTTTAAAGTGCCTGACTATTTGGTCTTTCTCTAGTTCCTGCAGTAGGATGGTAGATTATGTGGTAAGTGTGGTTCAGACGCATGAAGTTGTCATTTGGTTTATCTGTGAGATTAGGATCATTGAGGAGACCCACGCTGGCACTTTTCTCTCTGACTGTACTCAGCAAGGCAGATTAGCATCTCATTAAAATGAATTGGTCCAAACATCTGTCATTTCCTTTATCCCTTTATCTTGTTGTTTGCACTGCCAGTTCGTTTTGTTTTTTGCTCCCAGTCAGTTGCATAAGCATTCAGAGCTCATATAGAGTTTTGTGAGGAAATACTGCAGCATTTTGGAAGACTGACACACTGGCTGTTTATATGTTCTTACACTGTCTCTGTTTCACTTCTTAGCTTTCTGCGTCGTACCGCTTTTGCATTGATGGTTAACCAAATCAGCAGTGTTTCACTTTATTCCTTTATTCACTGTATTATAAAAACATCACATTACTTAATGTCTTCATTTTCTATACAATAAGAATGAATGCATGCCACAAACGCTCAATAATTTTGCTCAAGTTATTACCAGAGTGAGGATATTTATGTCAGTTTGTTAGCCTGTTTGCCTGTTCAATAACAAAAGTAACTCATCCAACTCACTGGCCAGATTGTGATTTTGGTTTGAATATTAGTTTCCCCAGAGCATAATTTCAAATGTTTGACCCCCTGACTACCACCATCAAACCAAAATTTCCGGCTGATATCAAAATGTTATTGTGGTGTTACTGCTCTTAATCAGGAATATTTTTACATTGACTTATGCTAATGAGTAATTTGATTTGATTTGATTTTATTAGGATATCTTTCAAACAAACTGTGCTGTTCTTCTAAGAGTCCTCAAAAATAAGAATATCACTTTAATAGATACAAAGTCTATTAAAGCTGCAGTAGTTAATGTTCTCTATATCCTGACAGTAGTATGAGACAGATAATCTGTGAAAGTATCAGGTTCCTCTGGCTCCTCCTAGTGCTCCTGATGGTATTTGCAAAAATCCACCGGCCCTGAACGAAAACAACCGATCAAAAACAAATCAGTGGCCCACGTTTCAAGCATCCAGAGTTCTCTCATTTTCTTCTTTTCATATACGCACACCATGTTCCCCTCAGGATGAATAGTAATAACTTTTTTGGTCCTCTGACTTTTCCTCTAGCCCCATCATCAGGTCAAAATTTGAATAAATCCAATACTACATACCTGCAAAACTAAGCCCTCAGGCTTGAGTGTAGAGAAACACTTCTTTTCTTAACAAGGCTTTTATTATGAAACATTTGTAGGAAGGTGTCTTATTCATGGCTCTCATCAGGTTCCAGACGTGAGCAGTTGAGTTACTTTTGACACCTAGGGGTAAAATTCAGTAGTACTGGTCCAGTATTTGGCTCAATATCAAACCAAACCCTACTAATTAGCAAATGCTACTATGCTAATATGCTAAACAAAGTTGGTGAACATAGACAACATTATATCTGCTTAGCCTCAGCATGTTAGCATTGTCAATGTGCACATGTTAGCATGTTGGTGTTGGTATTTAGCTGAAAAGCACAGCTGTGCCTCTACAGCCTCACAGAGCTGTTGGCATGGCTATAGACCCATAGTCTTGTTCCAAACTCATTTAGGAAGATGAAAATGCTTGTGAATGAGGTGCAATATTTTTAAAATCAGGTTCATTGATCTGATTCTATTGATTTGGGTTCATTCCATCTAATCTCAAGCACATTAATGCTTCTAAAGAGATCAACTCCTTTTGGTTTTAGTAATGCCGTGATCTTTCCTTTAACACCATCCTAAGGACTTTCATTTACATGTATTGCGTAAGACTGATGAATCTCTTTTTAGTTGCATCCTAAAAGCTGTGTCCTTATGAAGGTAGAAACAAATCTAGAGGGAAGAATCCAGAAACTCAAGATTATGATGTCCCTGTGATTTTAATAATTCAAAAAGCATCCTATTGGCCACCGTGTCTGATTTTGCCTGCTCATATAGGACTGTGTTCAGTATGTAAGGGACGTCAGGCAAGATATTTCCACTGGATGTGGAGCTGACACAACACAGCAGTATTTACACTCTTCTCCACTTCCTCCCCTCTCCATCAGCTCCTCTGGCCCCCATCCCCCATGCTCCTCCTCTTCCTGGCTGTAGAATCAATGTCAGGATAATGAAGACTGAGTATTGATTGCAGGATGCTGTCAGACTAACTGAAAATGGAGCTTTAAAAAGGCGATGTTGAAATATGTATGTTTTGTCCCTACCTGCACATGCATGTATTTGAAATCATGTTATGCCTGACATCTGGAGATTGCACATTGTCAATTTTATATTTCAATCAATAATAAATGTATTCATAGTATATTGAATTGCTATTGATTTTTGCTTTTTCACATTTTATGTATACTTTACTGTATTCCTTCTGTTGTTGTACTTTGTTTGTTACTTGTATACTGTTATTTGGCTGCAGTGACCCACTTTCCTCACGGGCATCATTAAAGTTTCATCTTACAGCAAAGGGAGGCAGACACTGGCGTAGAAGAGAAGTAAGGGTTGAGTGCGTTCTCGTGTTCTTTTCATTTTAGGATAGTTCTTAACTCTTCCTGTCTGTCTGTGTCCTCAGGTATTAAAGCCAGTGGTCAGTCCTGAAGTCAACCATGGACTGGGCAACAGGAGACTCATTAACTTCTCTCTGTCAGGTGGGATACCCACATCTGTCTTTTTTCTTTCCATCCGTTCCTGTATTGCTTTACTCCTACGCTCAAAGCCCTTCAATCAAAGTGTTCACATGTGTTTGCCCCATCTGACCCTGCTCTTGAACGGCAGCTCCCTCTATCATTGTCTGTTTTAGTGTTGTCTCTCGAAAAGCAAGTGGTACGCTCAAATCAATGCCAGCCCAACTGATTAACTTTGACATTCAATACCAAAATGCTGTGTCAACACTGGAACTGATCACCACCAGTCCACCTTTTTGAGTTTCGTTATTATATTTTTGAATTATATTATTGATTAGATTATTTATACACACATTGTTGCTTCATTACCAACTGATTCCGTTCACACACAGTCTATAGTGTTCATTACAACTGCAGTTCTTTGCCTTTTACAACAGAATATCAGTAGTTTTCAAAGGGCTTCCCCTCAGACAAAATCACATTTTCCTCTAATGTTTTGAGGGATGTAAACAGGAAGTTTGATGTTGCCATGGATTCAGAGAGTTACACTACCTAATTTCTTTTACATTTTAGAAAATTGTCTCTATTAAAAGTGTGCCGAATAAGCTATTATTTCTTCCTGTATTATCATTATACCCATTGATGTACAGACAACTATCACTGGATTACTTTGATCCTGAAGAAATTTGCGAAAATCATCATGTTTTTAAGTTCTGGAATTAAAAGGATCATCTATTTTGATTTATGGTTTCTAAGAGGATAAATGGACATTTATCTGCGATGAACATTGGGGTAATCATATTCTCAGAAAGCCTAACACTTGGGAGGCATAGTCTGAAAACCTCTGCTCAAGACCAAAAGCAAATCTGCAAAAAATTACACATGTACACACTCCTTAAGTATACGAAAATGTCATGTTTACCTCAATCTTGGCAACATCCCCTATTAAAAAATAAAAAAGATGAATCAACTCAACATGATTCATCAGTGTGAAGAATTCTGATTGTTTATCCTAAACATCACAGATGTTGAAATCCAGATACTATTGTTGGAAAGCCACTGACAGCAGTTTCGGGAATCTAGATATGAATGCTGGATATAAGCTGAACAGGTAGTTAAATTGCTCTTTAAAGGATATATCTGGTGGACCTGGGCCTGTTCATAAGTACTTTTAGATGAAAGTTCCAAAATTTGAAAACAAGCTGTTTCCCGACTACCATTTATAGATATTTATAAGTTTTTTTTAGATACTTTTTTTTTTTCATTTTCTGTTTTTATTTTCAAAACAAAATGGAAAACGGGTTGTTTCCTGATTTTTTTCTAATTTCAAAACATATATTTGTTGACAACAAGTTCCTACCCTACCTATGTTATGTAACTTAATAATAAAATAAGAAAACTGCCTCTTTTTAGGTGGCAAGAGTGAAAATGAGTCATCCTCAATATTAGTTGTGTTCTGGTTTGATGAAGACAGTTGGAAAACAGTTAGATACAAAATAGGATGTCGGCTCCACAGGATAGTTTGTTTTCCTGTTCAGCTATCATTTATCTCAAATGTTATACAGATTTTTTAGGCATTCTATCATCTCAACTGGCTTGAAAAATACTGCGTAAGGTTTCTGTTAATGGGGAAACGATCTTTGGGCTAAACCCAGAATGTTTACAACATCTGGCTTCGCCCCTGGTTAACTATGTTACTGCAGCGGGCTTCGGTTGGTTTTTGGAGTAAATCTCTTGACACCAGTTGCATGAATAAAGATCTTGCTGTTAGTTGTTCATAGTGTTAAGCTGCCATGAAATGTTTCTTTCAGTCAGTGGAGATATTGTACTTCTTTCACCCGCTCTTCTAGCAGAAACATTTGCATGCGGCTCTTTAGTCCCATTTTATTCTCTTGCACTGTGCATAATTCTGTTTATGTGAAATGTCATCAAGCTCAATTGACTTATTCTGCATGACCAGATTAAATACTTGTTTGTAGTGTGTGCGCTCTGTCCTACTTGAGTCTGCTGCACATCTGTCTTACATCACTTATCATATTTTCTTACATCACATATCACCTCTGTCTGCCTGTACATCTCAAGTTATAACCACACCACTTGAAATTCAATGTCAATCCCAAACAACCAAAGACAAACCAACCTTGGAATATTACAGCAATTTCAGCGACCTTTTACACAAACCTCTTCTTCCCATAATGCACTCATTAACAGTGACACACAGATCTCTATGGCAACAGCATGCCAGTAAAGCTGTTATGATGTCCTTCAGTCATGATAATATTTTCCAGTAATCTTGTCTATGAAAAGAAGCCCATGGTATTCGGACAAAAACTACCCAGCTACTAGACGAAGCATATGCAGCCACACACAAGAGCCCTTTACAACTAAGCTCCTACCTGCTAACTGTTACTTTTCATTTACAACCAAAAATCAATAATAATTCAAATGTAAAGAAAAACACACTAACTGCTAGCCCCAGCCTGTGCCACGTCTCCTCTCTGAAGATCTGCTGTCCTGCAGCCGCAGACACACCTGCAGCTCCTTCTCTGTTGCAGCTGCTGATTTGGACTCTTCTTCACTGTCACACGTTTTATCAGGATTGTTTCATGTGACTCTTGTTCTTACTCTGTAACTGTGACTGGAAATACAGTGAAGCACAAATATGTGCCACAACAGAGGGCAAACATTTTTGTGTGCTTCTTTGTCCCCCTCTCTCAGACCTCCAAGCAGTTGGTTTGAAGAAGGGTATGTTTTTCAATCCCGACCCCTACCTGAAGCTCTCCATCCAGCCTGGAAAGCACAGCATCTTCCCTTCACTGCCACACCACGGCCAGGAGAAACGCTCCAGAGTGGTCTGCAACACGGTCAACCCACAATGGAGCACAGAGGTACACACAGACTCTCATACACATACACAGCAGTATACTTCGCTCTCTCACATGTGTTGATAGATTTCCAAGCTATATTTAGCCATGTAAACTGATTAAACTACATTATCTGTATTCATACTTTTCCTTGTCTCATCTGTGTTCTTGGCTGTGCCAAATGCAATCCCCTCAGCTAACCTGAGCAAATGGAGACAGTTTCACTTTGAACAAAGTACTGTTTCCCAGGATGAAAAGAGAAGGTTAGGATTCAGTTTGGTTGAAGGATGGATGGTAGAAAATGTGTGTTCTCTAAACTGTATTTATGAATTGTTTCTGACTTTGAAAGGACATATGAAAACAGTGCAGTGTTCTTTTTGACACCTGTTTCAGTCTTTTGCCAAAAATGTTCAGATGAATCACATTTTGTAGTCACATTTTAGTTTAATTAGTTTAAGCTTCTAGTTTAAGTTATTTGTGATATTTTAGTCTTATTTTCATCTCACATGTAATTCTTTAAAGCACTCACCACATTCACCAGCACATTTGCTGTGTAAAGTTGTACACAAAGTTAATCTAACTCAACAGTAACATGAAAGGTATCTTTACCAGTCTGTGATTTTTCACTGTCAATGTCACTGTACTCTGCAGTAATACAACAGACTGGTCAACAGCCTACATGCTGCATGCATGTTTTCTTGTCTTGTTGTAGCTTGTGGTCTAATTTTTAGTGGGATTGTAGATTAATTCAGTCAGTCCAAACAATAATTGCTACAGTTAGATGTTTAAGAATATTAAAAACGTTTTAGAAACCCCATTATAGATGTTTTTGTGCATGGATGGAACACAAACGATGGTTATTACAAATATAGTATTCATTTTTCGAGAGCAGTTGAATCAATATAAGATTGTTATTTAAAGGATTTTTGAAGGAGAAACAATGCCCTAAAATTTTCAACATAAAGCCCATACAGCAGATTACACAGCACACAAAGGGATGATCGTGTGCTTCTTTAGGTTTCAGTAGTAGAGTAAGAGGATCAATGTAATCCATGAAAATCATGTTTACTTTGCAGAAACAAGATCAGCCAATTGATTTTTGCTTGTAGGGATTTTTCTTGGAAAACCATACATTTCTGGAAAGTTCATCACCCATAAATCCTGTTATGGATGCAGCAGATTAGCAGCATTAGTAAATAGGCTTAAAGTAACATTTATATAATATATGGAGGAATTACTTAACAAATAAACATTGTACAAAAATAAAAATTTGCCAAAGGAATAACTTTTGTAAATAAATGAAATCCAATACATTTTTCTACTGTTATACCAGATTTTATGTTGATCAATCACCAAAATAATTTCTTTTGGATATTAAACATGAATAAATTCATTAATTATTTTTAACAGAACCAAAAAAATTATCTGATTTAACCTGACGTGTCACTTTCAAAACCCAGCTCAGAGGCAAGATAAAAAAATAATATATTAAACACCAAAAGTACTGCTGATAAATGGAATAAAAGATTATTGCGACTGTTTAAACTGTCAGTAACCTGTATTCCACATGCAAAGAATGAACATTCTTAAAACATTTTAACTTGTTTTCATTTTCAGTATAAGAGAACACACATAACTGAAATGATGCTAATTTGAGATTAATGACAGATGTGGCCAGCCTTCCTGTGTGCATCATTATTAGGATTAATTTATTCCATTAATTTATTGTAATGTCCTGTACTCCTGTGTCAATACCACTTTATTACAATCATCTTGGTTCATTTCCTGAAAGATCTTTCTACTTAAAACTAATGGTTAATGGTTTAAGCTCAATGTCATGAGAATGGCATTTAAGGTAATATCAGTAATGTCAGCTTTTGTCATGTAGCCTAATAAAGTGTCCCCCCAGACTTTCCAGTACATCATTATAAGTGTCATTGAGGGTCACTGTCATTCATGCCGAGTAATTACTCAAGACCATACAAATAAACTAAATAATTTTGTAGGAAGGTGTCTTTTTTTGTTCAGCATAATTCTGAGCTGTTTTTTCTAATGCCAGTAAATGGGGCATTACAGTCATCAAGAGTGTTCATTTATTGAGTTGATTAAAAAAACACCTGAACTGCTTCTTAGATGTTTCTCTCTCAGTCTACGATTGCAGTCAGATATGAGAAAGATTTCATGCCCTGGTGAATTAGAGTGGGATTGTGAACCACAGGCACTGCAGAGCACAGATTAGAAGTGGCTGGTGTGGACGGACAAATCAAACACTGGCTCTAGGTAAAGCCTTTCAAGTTTCCTGGTTACAGTAGTTTCTTCTATTCGCTGGGAAGGCTGAACTGTATTCAGATGGCTGCAAACCACAAAGTTGTGCGGATTTTTTGGGGCACAAGGGCTTTGAAAGAAGCTGACAGACACACAGCACTAACAGATTATCACCTTATAAAGTCATTTTGGCTAACTTGTCAGTGAAAAATCCTACACAACAATACCACTTACATAACCGCTAGATGTTCCTCTGTAGTGATTTGATTCAATTTCCATTAAAACTTTTAGAAAATAAGATTTTTTCATAATATGTCTTCAGACATTGATTGACAAAAATCAAGGTCAGTGTTTACCTATAGGCTCCTGATTCAGTCAACTTGAGAATCAACAGATAAGGTGCTCATATTTTTAGGAACTGAGCCTTACAGGCATACAAACCTAAGTTGGGAGTTCTACAGTGAGTTATACACAGCCATTGGCTCCAATAAGCCACCTTTACTTTGGCTGATGATTTTTTTCAGGGTGTACTGCAGTTAATCATTTGTGTTGTTTGTGGTCCAGGAGTTACTATTACTTTATTTTATAGTATTAAACGTATAAGTGAACCGCATTTTGTGTAATTTTGTTTTGTAATTTTGTAATTTCCGGTTGGTCAGATATAGTGTGACATGGGAGGGACTGATAAAATGGACAGGTGATGCTAGAAATGACTCAATGCTTTGTGCATAAAATAATCTAGAGCTTTTTTTTCTGTCTAACTGCAGTGTCTTTCTCCGAATGCTACACAGCACAGTCTCTACCTTTCATTATGTCCCTCAGGAGACTCCATACAATTGATTTAATGCAGAGTCCCTCTTGGCAGCATCCACTCAGCTCAAAGCCACTTTCCTTTTCCAAACAGCTCCCATGTTGAGTGGAGCTCGGTTTGCTTGGCAGTAATGTACTGTGTAACTCTAATGGCTCTCCATAGCATGCTAGCTCAGTCAGCATACTTCCCATACTGCAGTCCAGTACTGTGCAGATTAAAGAGACAATTCTGTGTCATTATGTAATAAAATAAATGATGACATATTATTAGAACCTCTAAAAAATAAACCATGACAAGAATGGTCCAGTGATAACTTAATAGTGGAAAGTACTTTCTATGGATTGAAAACTTAAGATATGTTCTATAAATAGTGATGCTATAAAGCTTTTTAATAATGACTGTAGGGTTATATTTATCTTCATTTGCCATTATATTAGATCAATGTTGACCTTGATTAATGCTATTTACTGTACTTCTAGTGTGCAGGATCTCACTATAGTGTGGTTGTTTGTTGACGATAATGATCAGCTGAGTTTCACTTTTCTCTAGCCTAAAAGCAACTGTGCTGGATGGTAGTTACACAGAACCATCTGGAAAGTCACTGTTGGAAGCTCTTTCAAAACATACTTGGCTAGTGATTGGATGAACCATCTGTCTAACTAATCAGATCAACTAACCATATAACCCTTACTGAAGCCAGTCGGGAGAAAACTGATGCTACCAGGATCTACGCTGCTAACCTATGTCAGAGCCATTGTTGATTAACAAACTGCACCTAGCGCCCGCCATGGAAATAGAAACACAGATAGTTATGAATGCTGAGAGATTCAGACTCCACTACAAAATTGACTGTAACTTGCTTAATTCTTTTCAAGAAATTTGATTTGTGATAAACTGATACCTGTGACTTGTAGGACACTTCAATAACTAGGGGGCTGATCTAATCAGCACAATGCAAAAAACAGTCAGTCTCCACTTGGAGAAATGTGGCAGGCAAAAACGCATAGATTGAAGCCTGGCAAGATGGATTGGATCATCTTTTGTCTAAAATATGGTTAAGAAGCTTTTTAATTTGGACATAGGTAATAGTCCATAATAGTCTATAATAAAGTTGTGGCCAGCCTCCTTATGATAGTACGGCATGCCTAAATGAAAATAGCTGCAGTTTTTTAAATCGAACTTCTATCAATATCACATCTAGATTTAGCAAAAGCCTAATTCAGGAAAGCTGCGCTGGCTGGTTGGGTGGCAGTCACCCTCTAGCAGTTGTCCCAGTGAGTTTTGTGTCTGGGAATCACATAACTTTACAATAAGCTGCACTCATGGTTATGTTTGCAATTGACTGGCGGTCTGGATGGTAATAACAACAAGTCAAAATTAATCAGTGGATGCCTGAATTTCATCTTAACATTGTCCGTTTTTGTCCAAACATAATGGAAATGCCAAAAGTATTTTAATGAATTTAAGATCTTGCAATGATATTCCTCAGATCCAGACAATGAAGTCTCAGGAAGATAGTTATTCAGTCCCTCCAGAAAAATGCGGCGGTTTTTTTTTGTGATTATTGCGGGCAATAATCCTTGATTATGCGGGACGTTTTCTTAAAAAATGCGATGAAATCTGCGGCATATTTATGCAATTTTATGCAATGAAATTGCGTGAACTTTCAAAAATTGCGGGAACTTGCAAAAAATTGCGGGAACTTGCAAAAACTGCGGTTTGATGAAAAAGAGGGAAAAAAGTGATTCCCCCAACACCCTGTTGTCACTAGGCTACTACCGTAATGTAAAGAGTCATTTCTTATTACTTCCTATGATAAGCAAGCATACTACATCACAGAAAGTGCTGGGAATATTTAAGTTCTCATCTTGTTTTATTTCAGACCTTAATAAACACTTCATAAACAATCATGCAAGCCCCGCGTATTTCTCACGGAAATCGACAATTT